TTATAACGATAATGATGATGATGATGATGATGATAATGATATAACGACGATTATGGTAGCTTGTCGATAAAATTAATATTCAAATAGGTTAATTGATTTTTGATAGCTAGAGTAATAAAGAGAGAAAGAAAGAGAGAAGAGTGAAAGTGAGCGTGTGTAGTGTATTGATGAATTACAAAGAATCTCGGTTTTGTAAAATTCATTTTTACACTTTTTTTTTTATACGAATGTTACATTACTTTTAATATATCTATGTAAAAAATAACATTTAGACAATTTTGGAAAATAAATTTTTCAATACATATTCTTAACAAGTACTCAGCAATATAGTTTTTTTTTATTATATTGTTTAACGATTGATTTTCTTGAGAATTTGTTTATAAATTATTTGCAATATATTTTTGTTAAATTAATAAAAACTTATATATATATAATTACGATGAAGGAAAGCTATTATCCTTCTTATTAATGTTATTGATCAAATCTTTTTGATTTAGATATTAATTGTAAGATAGGAAAAAAAAGTAAAAGAAAAAAGAATGGAGGACATGAATATTAATTAGTACGAATCTTTTGAAAGCCTTTCGTGTTCACGTTGTGCCTTGGATGGGACCAGTATAGTATTTTTCTTTTCTTCCTCTTCTTAAAGAAAAAAGAAAAAAAAAGAAAAAATAATATTTAATCTCTCGTTTTTCAGCGTGTATATTATTTTATTCATTTGAAATAATACGCCGATGTCTCGAAACTTTTAGGTGGACTCAAAGTTCATATTTTAGTCAGTTTTAAAAATAAATAATTCTTTTTAACGATCATACTTTTTTTATTGTAACAAAAACGAACTGCAAGCTAGGCTCGTTAAATTAATTAGGATGAAAAAAAAAAAAAACAAGAAAAGAAATTAACCTTAAAGGAATCTCAAAAATTTATTATTGAAATTTGTTGAGAATTTTTAGGCCAACATAAAAACTTGTGGTCAATTCGGTTGAATCAATCTGCGATCGAAAATTTGTAATATTTGTATGTAAATGTGTTTTTTATTAGTAGGTAAGAAAGAATAAAAAAATAAAAAAAATAAAAAAAGCAAAAGAAATATATTTGAATTAAGATCGAATGAAAATTTTTTCTTGTTTATATATTTATAAAAATATACAAAAATCGACACACAGTGACGACCTTTGTACAGGCGAATTTTATATAACGCATTTCACAATAATTATCTTACAATAGTTTTAAATAAAATGCTCCTGTGTGGAGAAATGTATATTATCTATGATAATAAATTATTATAATTCGTCAAGTTTTTATATAGAAATTTTTCAACCTAGAATAAAACAAAAGCTGCAGAATAAACAAATGAGCTGCACTTATATAAAATAAGAGAGAACAAATATAACGTTAAGTAATCTGTTAAAATATATGTGCGTATGTATGTGTGAGAATATACTCCAAATGAAAAAAAGTTCGATATATATTATTATTATTATTATTATAAAAAAATATGAAAAATATATAGAAGTATTATTTAATAATGATCTTTTTTCGAACATTTCATTTTACCTCTCTCTTGATATATTCTTATCATTGAAAAAGTATAAAATATAAAATATATATTAAAATAACTCAAATTTAAAGTTTTTCATTATTTTCCATGTTACTCATTATTTAATTTTTAATAATAATGTATTATATTATTATTAAAATAAAATAATAATGAAAAAAGAATTTAAAAAATATAAATAATGAAAGAAACTCAGTGTAGAAAATTGAAATTTAGAATATGCAATGTATTACAAAATATTTTATTATAAATTATATTATTTATTGTATAGTATAATCAAAAGTATAACAATTTTCATTTTATATTTATTAGTAGTCTTAGTATATGAAATAAGATTTTTTATACAGTGTCAACTGTTTCCGTAGTGTAGTGGTTATCACGTGTGCTTCACACGCACAAGGTCCCCGGTTCGATCCCGGGCGGAAACAGGGAATATATTTTTTTGTAATTTTTCTTTTTTTTTATATTTATTTTTTTATTTTAAAAAATTTGTAATAAAACAATTTATTTTTTATCTTTTTTTAATAGGTAATATTTAAATATTAATATAAAATCTATAATATATATTTTTGAAGAATTATTAATTGAGATAGTGATTCCATCTGTGGGACTTTTACAAATTATTTCTCATCATAATAGCAACAGTTGAATACTAAGGAATCTGATTTATCGATAAAGTGTAAGTCATGTAAAAACGATAAACTCCAACAAGTACAAGGAAACATAAAATTTCTTATGTTTGAATAAATAATAATTTTTGATTATGGGGGTCTACGTAAGTAACAATTTCTACATGATTACACGTGAATAATCGATATTACTTTCATTGTAAAATATTGTAAGCAATTGTAAACAACGTGATTACTGTTGAAATAAATTGATTGCATTTTGTTTATTTAATCAAAGAATATTTAACATAGTAGAACATTAGAAGTGCACTTTTCGTGTAAAGAATTCATCTTAGTTAGCACTGGGATCACCAGTGGGCGTTAGTAGGTACTTTACGCGTAATACTACAATACTATCAAAGGATACAGTATTTTACCTGCTAACGCCCACTAGTGGTCTCGGTGCTAACTAAAATGAATTTTCTTATACGAAAAGTGCACTTTTTTAATGTTCTATTGTATTATATATTCTTTTGTTTATTCAGTCATTTAATAATTATTTAATATTTCTATCGTGTTTCCACACGTTTTTATCCTATTTTCGAACAATAATTTTCAATCTTAAAAAATTTTGAGTTTAACTGATGCCGATAACGCTTATGAACATACTGTTGAGGTCTAATAACTACAAAAAATTACGTGATGATTTTACATTATGGTTTATATACAAACTCTTTTGCAAATAGTGCCAAATAAAAACTATACGAATACTTATTGCTCGTATGTTTCTGCCGATTTTTTCATTTTCATTGTTAATTTTTTAATTTATTTAAAAAAATTATTTTTTATTTCATTATATCTATTGTAGAAACTTTCGAGAATATGTACAAATTCATTGTTTATGAAAAATTAGTTAATAAACTACAATTTCACAACATTTTATTTCAAATTGATCGAATTACGAATACTTTTTACATCCACTGTGCATGTTTAATTTCAAATATATTTAATATTAAATCTTAATTTAAATTTTTGCCGATTTCCTCGCTATAACTTACCTTTCGTCGGTAATACCCTGTGCAAATAATTGCACAATTTGAGAAAAATTTAAGCTTTTCATAACAAAAATGAATTAAATAATTTTTATAAAGTAACAATTATTCTTATCAATAAAACATTTTTGAAAAAGCTTAAGTTAAATTAAGTGCTTATTTGAATAACTGAGTACAAGATGGCGTTGTTAGGACCAATTTTAACGTCTCGTGTATATTTTACCGCCTTTTGATTTTTGTTCTTTTGGATTGTTCATTTAACTTTAATGATATTCAAAATTTTATTAGAACACAGGAAGTACGATTGTTAAGTATAATATAAGATAAGTCATTCAACAACAGAATTATCATTTTTATATTCACATTTATGTTTGATACGTTTTCAATTTACTATGAACTTATTCATGTATCGTACTTGCGTATTATTTTATCGAGAAAATTTTTTTTCCACTCATTCCATTACAATATTCTATCCTGTATATGTTTCCATATCAGACGTTCATTGAACTCCTCATTAAAAATACTCGACTAATATTGTGCCCCGTGTATGTACCAATTAATTTCATGTTTATCGTTACCAGACATTATAAAGGTTAACTATTTTGTTCCATATTTTAAAAGTTAGCTAAGATATTTATTAAAATGTACAATTTAAATAATTAAAATTCAATTTATAATAATACACAAATTTTAATAATAATAATAATAATAATAATAATAATAATAATAATAATAAT